CAATGCAACAATACGCAGTTTGGAGAGCTAAACGTACTGACGGTAGTAGACGCAACCCTGGCGCATTTCAACTCGTTCCCAGCCCAGAGGGACTCGTGGTGCCACGACGGGATGTTGCCAGGTAGTGTTGCGCGTGCGGTCGCAGATGTAGAAATGCCGACCAGAGGTGGAGACACCCATAGACCAGCCGGGCGGCAGGGGAAGCACAATACTGCAATCGAGCTCCAGCAGACCCTAAAAGTCATGGCAAAGGGATAGTGAAGGATTCATTTGAACCAGTTGTGAATAATGCCCAAAGTCCTCAATGAGCTTTACATGACCCACCAGGCATAAGGAGAGTAAAGGAAAATGTTACCAGAGGCAGAAATGACGAAAGAAAGACTGAAAGACGAGTGCGAAAATGCAGGTAGAATAGTCCGAAGATGTAATAATTTAGGAGAGAAGGAAAAAGCGAAAGAATTTGGGGTTACGGAGTCAGGATTAGTTGAATGAGTATAAACAGATTAGGTGCACAAAAAGGTAAACACCCGTAAAAGCAGCTGGCATAATCAGGATGAAAAGTGTCGAGAAGGTTGATCAGAAACTGGCTGTCAGGTGTTCGTCAAACTGTTAATCCAATAATCTCCCTCAAGTTCCTCTACCGGTGAAAACCAACCCATCACTCTGGGTTCACACTTATGCTGGGGCTTGAGGTGGGTGATAGGGTTACCTTGTCCCAACCTCCCCCTTCAGCCTACGCGTCCTAATGTCAAAATAATGTGCTCGATTGGATGCCGACAAAAAAAAGCCTCGGCGCATTCTCCTGAACATAATATTCACGATGAAGGAGACAGATAACGACCAACTGAGCGTCCTGAATGTTTTCGCGGAGACTGTACTGCCTTGGGAAAATATTGTGGTCATGAAAATGAAACATCGGTTAAATCGCAAAAAAACTCCTGTTATAGGCAATACCTTAATACGAGCGTAGAAATCTAAGTAGTCAGGTAAGATCAGGGCCGGATCCTGAGGCAGCTCGAGGTCCTCAAAGAGTCGCTCTCGAAAACCGCTGCTCCACCGACTGTCCTCCGTGGGAGCGCTGACTCCTGGCAGCGTGAGAGGCGACTCTGATGGCCTGGGTGAATTTGAAGCGCCCTGTGATTGTCCTGTCACCCGATGTTGCGGTGGTGGTGGTGGCCCTGGCAAATTCGGTTCGTCAGCAGAGACGGGGGTACCATTAACAGCCACCAGCGGCTTAGTTCGCATGGAGGGGGCTATTTTGGCGGGAATTCTAGAGGCTTCCGACTTGGGTAGCACTGGACCTGATGCAGGAGAATAGTGAACAACGTCTCAATGCCATGAAATGAATATTTGGTCAACGGAGCTCCTAACGATTGTTCGGCTCTCGCTAACAAACGGTAAGTGTAGGAGTCAGTTAGCTGCGCCTGTATAAATGCCTCTAGGATATGGGGTCTTTAAAACTAGTGAAGCTGTATGACAGGTGGGAATTAATCTTCGGTTAAAGGTTCGCGAAATTTTCTTAGGTACAGGATGTGAGAGGAAAGATTATAAGACGGATTCTGTGTAACCTTTACATTTTTTGATGTATTTAGCATAACCTCAGGCTCAACGTCGTGCGCTTGGAGTTTCACAAATAAAGAGATAATTAGGCCGTTGAGACTAAGAGCTATGTTGCAACAATTGTCTTTTTTGAGGACTTTCTGTTAGGTGCTTCGTTGCACAAACCGAATTAAAGCAGTCTTGTTAGTGTTTATTGTGGACCACTCCTTTTGTAGTAGGAATAGGTGTGGTTGGCTGCTTCAAGGTCACTTTTGATTGGCTAAGTAGATAACCATAGGCACATTTTAAAGCAGTACCTGTACGACTATGGCCTCTTCTTCAAATTTTGCACTTCATATGTGCTGTAACAGAGTAAACTGCAGTTGATTTCCCATATTGTTGTTTTTGACTACAGACAGCTACGCTGTGACCTAATGCAAACGTTTCGCATGCTGTGGGCTCAGGCCTGTTGTCTCGCATCCAGCTATATCTTTTAGCTGACCACAATCACTACGTTATAAAACACACTGCTGCCTATTTTCCAGTAGTATTATTACTCTAATCGTTTCGTCAGATGCCCTGTATGTATTTAGGCTTTTATCTTGCCGTGTTATTGCAGCCAATAGCGAGTTCAAACGCATGAACCTATATTTCCCCTGGTAAAACCGAACTGATATGAAAATCTTTTAATTGATCCTTTTTTCTTTGAAATTGCGCCCCGAGGTCTCGGTTAGTCATTCTTACACCAGCGAAACCCGTTGAGTCCCGTTTCGTTCTCTAACGTTTTTCCATATTGCATTTACGCTATTTTGTCGAGCTACCTTGTATTTATTGTAAATTTTATTCGCATTTCTTATCGCCAAAGCATTTTCCGTATTGCATTAACTGTATATGCCTTCTGTATCAATGAACCATTTTATATACTCTTTTAACTTTGTTTAAACCAAATGCTAACTACACGTTCCACATAGCACGTCAGCATTACTTTTCGATGGTAAATAAACTCTATAGTCAATTTATCATCTGATTTTTATAATTTCCAATAGCGTGAGATCCCTTTCCCCCTTGTTTAATGAAATAACAGGACATTTAGGAGAGATTGCGGGGACGTTACCAAAAGAATTCAAACCTACAATCCCCGCAGACGCTGTCAGTAAGATCCAATCTGCACCACCCCGTTCAGGTGCCATACTGTAAATGTTTACCTCTAGAAAGTGAAGAAGGCAAGTCACTTCAGCTCAGAGATCCCCGAAGCCAAGATTACGGTAAGGAGGGAGGGAATGAACATCCAGGTTTCCGAACCACATAATGACTATTGGTTTTGAATTATTATGACACCCGGTTGAGTTTTATAATTCAGTTTATCTGGTAAGATGCTTAACTATACCTTTAATTGAGTCATCATATTTAAATAATTTAAACCATATTTTAATGACAGTCAACATAACAGTGCTCACTATAGAGGCTCGTCTGTGCTGATCTCCTGCTATTGAAGGAAGCACCAGCACCAGCAGCAGGTGTTGCTGCTGCTGCCTCTGTAGTTTTAACTGCCTCATTGGTTTGACATGAAGCATTGGACTGCATCTGACTGTCAGCATACATGGCTGCGGCTGCAAAGTGATTGGCTGCTGCCCTGAACCAATCAGCGGCAGGGTTGAATGTGGGTCTCTGGGGCGGCAGGACGGACATCAAGGGAGGCATAACATGGGGGTGAGGGCCATAGGGACTGGCGGGCCCGCACCAGCCGAAGTAGTCAGCGAAGGGAAACCACGACGGAAGGAAGGGCATTGTCGGCGGCGGCAGTGGTAGTGCGGGCGCTGGCGGTGGGGTAGGGACTGCGTTCCACGCATACGGCTGTAAGTGTAACAACAGGCCAGATTTATATAACAGCTGACTAGAAGAGCCTTTATGGGGTTTAAAAAAGACAGCCTTTCCAAAATATTTGGAGGCTTCGTTCGGCCGCACTTAGAATTTTCTATATAGGCATGGAGACCGTGGATTGTCGAAGACTGCCCCGTCTTAGAGAAGGTCCAGGGGCGAGCGACTAAAATGGCCATAGGTCTGGGAACACTACCCTATGAAAGCAGACTGTCAACCCCCAACCTAGAGCTCTTTTCGAAGGGCAACTTCGAGGGGACCTCATACTGACCTTCCGTATTATGAATAACCTGGATTGTTGCTTTATCCCCGACAACTTCTCTATCCAAGCTAATACGCCAACGTTAGGCGGCCATTCCTTAAACTACGCCCCTGTAAAGCAAGGATCGATGGACGAAAATTCTTCTTCAGCAACAGAGTGGTTGTAGCGTGGAACGCCCTTCCGGAAGAGGTTGTCCTCTCCGCCTGTGTTTATTCATTTAAGAGAAAATTGGACATGTACCAAACACATCATTCCACAGCCACCAGGTAACCAAAAGACGGACATACGCAAATATTATACAACATTATACTACTCGCTGTAAGCGAGTAGTCATGTTTTACTGCTATTTCGACTACCCAGTAACTGCTGTATTTTCATTTGCAAGCATGTAATTGACACCCTTTTTCAGTTTTTCCTTGTAGCCATACATATCTTGTCATCTTCTTCCTAAGAGAGAGTTCGATGGCGTTAGCTTATCTTTTCCTCAATAAACTGACACTGACGCTAATTTTATAATGACTGACAAATGATTTGCTTTATGGAGGAATGAGCCAGGAATAGTCAGCTGATAAGCCTGCAGGCCCAAAGAAGCAAACCTGTACAGCCACCTACAATTACATGTTCACTTTGTTGCCACTCTGTAAGGGTTTAAATCAGTCATTCACTAATGCGCAGAGCGAGCCGCGCATTTCGGCTTGTCAGTTTAAGAATAGACTTGAAGAAAAGGTACTTATGTATATCAGGCTTCGTTAGCACATATTAATATAAAAGTATTTGGTCGGTGTACGAATGGTGCTTATCAACACAATCACCAAATCCCGATTTATAGAAAAATATTGTCGAATTCACAGATAGGCTTAACGTTCCGTACCAGCCGGGAGCTAGCATCAGAGAACTGCATCGCAAGAGTGTCCTTCCTGATTCCTCGATAGCTTCCGGGATAAGCAGACATTTCTCTTAAACTGGAATGCTAGGCCACGTTTCCTTATAAACATCACCGTACCTTACTATACATAACTAACTACTTATTTCGGTTGTAGCCGTTTTGACTTTCAATTTCGATATACTTCACTGCAACACACGCGAATGCATTAGAACCTATTGTAAGTTTTTAAAAAACGGGGAAAAAGCCTATCTGTCGTCGTTTTTTGTAAGTCACGGAAATTCGATAAACAATCGACACACGTTTGTCATCCAACTAATCGTTGCCAATTCGGAGGTATTATTTACTCAATTCTCGTAACCTATTGGTTGCACTTGCCATTGGCTCCTGATTTGATCCTATTTATATCGCGGCAGTTTATTCAATTGCCTTCGATTTGCTATATTTAATCTCGGTTTATTTTTTTTTAATATAGTGCATATTTTTGTTGACGTATATTAGTATTTTTTAATAATTCTACCTGTTACCTACGTTTTTATATGCTCTTTTCGGTTATTTTCCTTCCCCTTGATATCCTCCACCCATATAATGCATGTTTTACCCCTACTCATACAAAACGGGAGTAAATTCTTTACTTTACTTTATGCATTCACCAAGAATCAGTAGAAGAATGCAAGCATTCGACGTGGTCACATACATATTTTTCCGAACGTAATACGTTCATGCCACTGTAATGATGCGCAGCTCAGGACCAACACATCATCATATACGGTGTATCCTTGGAGTCTTATCCAGTCGGTGAATTATTCTGCAGCTTTTTTTCGATTCAGTCAATACTTTCCACGTTTCAGTGGGGTTTCCACTTTTCCAGATTGCCATTAAATAAATCGAAGCAAGAAATCGGAATTTCTCAAAACTAAGTCGACTCTTACAAGGAATTGAGGTGTTGACCAATAGGCCCTTGAGCGATAGTCTGACCAGGCTAGATCAAGCGACGGTACTGGAAGGCAGGAGATATTGTATTCGTAAGCGGGTGTGGAAGCCAGAGCATTCTCATTCTGTGGCCAATCAGAGAAGTAGGAGAAGGTGGGCGAGGAGGGGCCTGTGTGTATGCGCCGTTCATTGGTCAGCGGAGAGGTGACAGCCGTCTGACAGCGATTCTGTCTGTCTGTAAAATCCGCCTTTTCAGGGGCACTGTTAGGAAGCTGTCTGGGGACGTTGGTTATAACCGGTGCCGAACCGCGGCGGGTCCAGGATTTTGCGACGTTGGCAGCGTAGTAACTGGGCGAGGTAGCGTCTGCAATACCTGAAAACAAAGGTCAGTAGGGTGTTACACCAGTGTCTTAGAAAGGCCCTCAGACAAAATGGCCCAGACTACTAAGCTCTGCTACATGGGTACCGTAGTCGGAAGCTTGTGTTAAAAAAAAGAGATGTGAGAGGAGCTTAAGGCGACTCTTAATAAAATTCCTGCAGCTAGCTTAGAACATTAATTCGTCACGGTGCTGCGAAGGTGGCATTTTTTCTTATCTCTTCCATCCAGCAACTACTATGGAGTGGGAATTAGCTAAAGGCACTTTAGGCGGAGAAAGTCCTGAAAACAAATGGTCACATGACCTGTCACCCTTTCAGTGGACATTGCTAGTTTAAAAGCCGCGTCTGGACAAACGCCGCCGGACACCTAATGCAGACAGTAGGTGGGGGCAGTAAAGCAAAATACTCAGCCAACCGCTGTGAACAATTTGCCCACGGCGACTTTGTCCGAACAGATCATCGTATCGTTAGGAGGTGGCTGTCAGCCCCCGATGATGGTAGAGGGCGTGGACGCTTCACACAAAGTCAAGAACTGGAAACCTCCACGCATGCGCAGGCATACAAACGCCTGTCAAACGACACTCGCGCAAAAAAGAAGACTGACTGAGGAAAAATAGCAAATGTCGGCAAAATTCATTATTCCTAAAGGCTGTTAACAGAAGTCCAAATACAGATCTTGTTGTACTGCAGGTAAACCGTATGCAAATTCAACTTTTGTCAAGATTAAAATTAATTTTCTTGCGGAAGCGTATGCATCCGGATGATTGTCTTAACTTGTTTTTTTTGACGATCACCTGGTATGTTTATTCTGTTTAAGGAGGACGCAGCGCCTCTTCAGTATTGAAATGCAGAGAGTTCAACAACCTCTGTCTATTCAGGTATGAGGAAACTGCCAGACTGGAGAGTAGCATTCGCTCATGAACGCTCACCGATCGCTACCGAAGCTCACTCGTCAACTTCCGTCTTGGGCCCACTCTAGTGCTCCGTTATCAGCCGCAACACGGCTAGTAGTGTAGGCAGAGGAGAATTGCCGGCAAAGATCAACAGATCGCGGGTTCGAGCCTTGTGTGGTGTAGTACCTCGGATTGGATATGACTGGCCGATGAAGGCTAGTGCGCAAGAAACGCCCATTCAAGTCACCTTACCTTTGTCGACAATGTTTAGCTGCCATGTAGAACGTTGTCATCAATTCAGACAATAGTTCTGATGAGTGCACTTTCACTTAAGGGGAGAGCGTAGCCGAAGCTCCTGATAAGACTACTTCAATCGACATCGCATCAAGAGCGCTTTCCGAATGAGCATGAAGTTGCCTCAACGGCATTATCTCAGTGGTAGTTTACTTATTATTTGGGCTAAGAAAATAAAAAAAATAGGTCAAGTTTTTGAAAGACTGCAGAATGGAAAAAATACCCTCTTCGCGATCGTATGTCAGGTGTATTTTGATTTTAGTCAGCAAAAGGCTTCAATTAGCCACAACAGCTAGTGGATTCCTCCTTCAGAGTTAAATCGCTGAGCGGCACTTCGGCTTACTGGAAAGGGGTAAGGTTTTTAAGAACGAAAGCCAACAGCCCACTTACTAGCGACGGGTGAAAAGGCCGTTTTTGTTTGCTGTCGACCGAGGCCCTCCTGGTTGATCATGTTTGACCTCGGTGTGGGTGGTTTGGCCTCAGTACAGGGAGCCGCATTACTGTTGCTCACACCATCGACCTCATTCGCCACTTGGGGATCAACAATGCTCTCCAGAGACACGGAGCTCGAGTCCGGACCGAATTT